AGTTCTTTCTGCTTCAACCAACTCTATGAAAAAGCTCGATTTATGTATAATACACCTGCAAACAGTTCATTTAGAATCTCAATAACTTTCAAAATATAATTACAACCCGGATTAAACTTTTGCACTAACAAATATGTGATCGACTAAGTAGTTTAAGTTCATCGGTGTAAACTGCTGCCTGGAGCTGGATTCTTGTCAGAAACCGTCTGCCAATGTTGGCTTTTACAAAAATTTTGATGTTCAGATTGAGTCCATGTTTTGAATGCTTTTTTAGCCTATTTGTGGCGTGAATCTCTTTTGTCCACATTTCAAACATGTGAAGTCCCATTGACCGTATGAAACATTTAACCGTCCGCAGTTGCTTATTGAATGGGACTGAAGCATTCATTTCAAAAAAATATTCTAAACAGGTCGCAATCCATTTCTATTCTGCTTATAATAAAATTTTTAGGGATAGTGCCCTCTTCTTCCAAAACCTATATTTTTCCTGAGAATTCCGTTATGAATTTTTAACATTTAATTAAAAATTTCTTTGCATCATTCTTCATTGACGAAAATTTGTACCTCTGAAGAATATTTTTCATTTTAATTCTCTGTGTTTTTTTGGTCTTGGTCTTAGAATCAATTTTTATCGTAAAATAAATTGTAACAAAAATTATAATTGTTTGCAGCATAAATTTTAATACAGACTGATAAATTTTGGGTTTTATATGTTTACAATTACATTACAAAATAACTCGCAAGAAATTTTTCATTAAGTGATTCATCAAACAAAAAAATAGCATAACAATATAATCACATTAATTTTCTTCATAAAAAAGTTGTCTGTCTGTTACAAATGAGTTTTCAGCGATCGCTCAGCAGCTGATCATTCTATGTAGCTTCTTATAAATGATTCTTATCTTCAGGAAATAGCAATTCCAATTTCAATGGAAATGAAAGATTTTTGTAAATTTTTGATAAAAATTAGTTCGACTGGACTTGTTTTTTTGCTGCTCACAAACACTTATCTCAGAAGACTTTTCATATAAAATGATAATCGATGGTCATCGTCTTCTTATGTATGTATGTAATTGGGAATGAAACCAATTTTTTTTAGATTAATTATTATTTATATGAAAAAAGTGATTGTACCCCGCAAAACTTTAAACAAATAGACATCAACAAGCAGACAAGATAGGAATCTATGACGCGAGTATCACAGTTTCATGGCGCAGACGAACTTGAACAGGCTTTTGTTTATCAGCTTATTTATAATATATATATATATATACTTAATATAACAATACCTTATCAAAAATTTATCAAAATCAGAGCATTTCTGTTGTATAGGTTATTTCATCCGTCACAGAATCAAGTTAAAATTTAAATCGTTCAATAGCAGGGCAATCCTAATGATGAAAGCTGCTACATGTAATCTTGTTATATGCAGCGAAGTTTTAGTAAGCAGCGATCCAAAGTTCGCAAAAGTTGAACTTATTTCACGTGCATGTGCAGTGATGTTTTTATTTATTATTTATTTATTATTTATTTATTATTTATTTATTTATTTATTTATTATTTATATTTTTCCATCGTTACTATAATTTTTTTATTTATTATTATTATTATTGTTGTTGTTGCACTCTCGTCGCATTTTAAATATTATTAAATGACATAAGTTTTCACTTTAGCTTCGATATACGAAAATAATATAAACGCATAATGACAATCCAGCCAGCGTATCAACGAGGTTTATAGCAGTGTTGTTGTCGTTGTATTGTGTGTATCAGTTTAGAGGATTTGCATTCATTCACATCGTTAATGATTCAGTTTGGCCTTTATTGGGAGTTTTTAAACAATTGTTTGAACATTTCATTATTCTAAGAAGTTTTAACTGCTTATTTCAATTGCATATGTTTTTATATATTTATGTATTGAAACCTTCATAAATATAACATGATGCTCAACTCCAGTGATATTCCATCTGACAAAAGGTTGATTTTTTTTATTAATTGTTAATTATTCTATTTAAAAAATTTTCGACATTATGAAAATAAAATTTAACTTTATTAAAAAAAATTTTGTGTAACGCACAAGCTTACGCGGTATCGTATTGGTGTACCAGCCCGGAACACCGCGTTCCTGAAGATGCAACAAATTTTAAATAGAGCCCAATCCGTTAAGAGATGAAAGTATGCAAATTGTCAAAAAAACTAAATCTACGACATAGGAGTAAGAGCGGGCGGCGAAATATTTAAAAATAAAAAAGTTAAGAGAAGGAGGATTTGAACATTCTTTCATGTCGCACGAAGGTTGTGTAACATATTACAAATGTATTTTAACAAGCAAGCTAGGAAGCGAGTATCATATTGTTATTATTTGCTTAGCCATGCCGCGACCTGTCACGGGGTAGTTTTCTACTCGAGAGCAGTTATTTATCTATCATTTAAACAATTTTAAATGTAACTTGAATCTATATTTTTAATATCACTTAAGATTTGTTTGAAAAAGTGTCGCCTGAAATTTTCATTTCGATTTTTAAACCTTTTGCTTTAAACATTTAGTGAAAAATTCATGCTGAAATATGTTTAAACTCAATTTGATTCTGAGAAAGTGATTCTATTAGTCGCGTAGTATATTTTACGGTGCTCTATCCAAAAATTTTAAATAAAAATATGATGGCATACCATGTGACAGAACTTCAAAAAGCAGTCAAATTTTTGTACGTAGATTCTTATAATGTCCTTTACCGATAGACGTATGTAGTGTTATGTCACAATTTTCAATGGCGTCCAATTACAGTGAATAAACCTACAGCTAGGATAGCTCACCGCCAGTTACACGCGCATGTGCAATATGCAACTGCACTGAGTGATGATGTTGTTATAAGCTTTCATATTTTTAGAAACATCGATTGTGGTAGATGCGGCTTATCTAAAGTCTAGTTTTTTATTCTAAATTAGTTAGTGAAAATTGTTTAAATAAAGTTTGTTTGTTAATCAGTAAACATTTTAAAAAATTCGGATTGGTTTCAAGATATAGACACCTGTATGCGAAGGCTTAAAATAAAGTTAAATAAAACGTTTGCATCTGATTAAAACAAGAGCCGAAACATTTTGTGGATCCGTAGAATGATATAAATAAAAAACATTGACAGGACTATATGCGATTTGACGAGCATGAAATGAGATCAAATAATTTTTTTATTCAAATGATCAATTGTATTTGTATGAGAGCAGTTTGACTTTTTAAAATAATGAATTCGGAATGTAATGGAGAAAGTTAATTTCAAACAACACCGCAACAACTATATTATGTAACTCTATGATCACTTTCATATTTGCCTGTCTGTTTACACTATTTATTAACACCTTGTACCTACCTCACATTCTGACCACTGTTGATGTCATGCATTTGTTATTATTTGTTCGGCGTCAAATCTACTTTTAAAATTATGCAATTCTGTGTCATTCCGTCAACAAAAAATGATCAGCTAAAGTTTCCTTTTTGCAATTTAGCTATTTACTAATATATTGCAACTTCAAAACTTCAAATTTACGGCCAAAGGATGCAACACATCAAAATTGAACCAGACAGTAGTAGCTGTATCAGAATTGGTAGCTTAACCAAAGTTGTAAGCGTGTTTGAGTAATGTTAGAATTTTTAGTTTTTGGGTTTGGCCTAGCCTTGCGATCAATCAACATACTACGCAAAACCCATATTGTTTTTTAAAAAAAAAATCTGCCGATCTGAATGACTGCATTTGTTGAATTTGTGTATATTTTTGATTTGTTCCAATCATTTTTTAGACATTTTTCCATTACAACCTGTGTTTTTTGATGTTTGTTGAAAGACTGAAAAGACTGAAGCAGCTTTCAGTTTGAACTTTCATTAATCACATTTCGTTTAACCGTGACCCCAACTAAATGTTTTATTTAAAATATCTAGAATATATGTAATTTTATTAAAAATATAAATGTGTAAACTTGCGTTTGATTTTATTATTGTTGATCGCTTAAAATTACAAAATTGTTCAACTTTAACCAAAAAAAATTAGGAAACGATTTCAAATCAAAAAATGTTTCGACCAATATTCTTACAATGTGACTTCAAGATCATCAAACCCTAATTCAAAAACTACTTCCAACGTGCCATCAGCGGCAACCTCGCCCACCCCATCAACATCTACGACGACGACGACCTACAAACAGGCAACAATGTCCATGCGAATTTCTGCGATTGATGAACCTTCCAACAGAAATAACGCCAATCGAAATCATTTGGAAACTAAATCTAAAATTGAAAACTTGAGCGACAATATTATTTTAGATGGATTTGAAGAAGAACTGAAAGGCCACCAAACAGTTAATAATATTATTTTTTATTTTATTATAAATTTTTTTTAATTGTTTGATTTATTTGTTGTTCCTAATTCCTATAACAAAAGGAAAGCGTTTTTCCAACTGGGGATGAAAAAAAACCATTTCTAAATGATGATTCCGCGAGTTGCATCGACGAATTCAATTTCGCCAACTACCACGCAGCAAGTGACATTGGTTTCGGAGCAAAAGATATTGACGAATGCGAACTTCAAACTCAAAATGAAAGTCATCCTCTCAACACATACCCAGGTATTTTAGAAACTCCCCCAACCATTCACAAGAATTTACCACTTCTTCAAAGTTGTAGCGTGCAAAAATCGGCCTCAAATGCCGCCGTCAATTTGCCCAATCACTTGATTGAAAAGCCGTACATTCCGGCTTTAACTGTTCTTGCTGGAGATATTTCAACCCAAAAAATTGCAGAAAAGGGTAGTTATAACTATTTTTTACTAAATACGAGTGCAATTTAATTATCCTTTAATAATGTTTAATTCGTTGAGCAAAATTAAAACTTCAAATTTCTGGGAAGAAATGTTTAACATTTTAGGCTATATATACATTGCCGTTCGTGTATCTAATCTTTATACTGAACATTTTACAAATTTGTTTTTTAATGGTACAGGTAGACTGCTTGCTAAGAACAATCAAAGATTAGTCTTTAAAGACGGTTCGTGTAACGTTACTACTGGAAACATCATGGAGAGACGAAGGAAGTACTTAGTTGATATATTCACAACGCTGGTTGACATGAAATGGCGCTACAACTTCCTCATGTTTGTCTCTGGCTTCTTAGCATCTTGGCTTTTCTTTGCAGTTTGCTGGTTTATTGTTACCATATCTCACGAGGATCATATCAATTATGGAAATGAAAATTGGAAGCCATGTTTGGGCAACGTCTACGATTTCACCACGGCTCTGTTGTTTTCTATCGAAACTCAGCAGACGATTGGATATGGATTTCGAGGAGCTGAACCTAATTGTCCTTATGTGATTTTCATTCTTATGATGCAGTGCTGCGTTGGCGTCTTCATACAATCTCTCACTGCAGGTATCATCTTTGCTAAACTTTCCCAACCTAAAAGAAGAGCACACACGTTGTTATTTAGTCGCAAAGCCGTAATTTGCAATAGAGATGGAGAATATTGCTTGTTGTTCAGAGTCGGTAACATGAGGAAATCACATTTTGTCGGAACTTCCATCAGAGCATTCATCGTTAAAGACAAGTAAATTTTGTTCGATTAATGATCCCACAATTTTTTTTTTATCAAGATCGGTTCATCATTATTTTAATTTAAACAAAAGAAAACATATTCTTAGCATTGAATTCCCTTAAAAACTTTTTTTAATGTTTGAACATTTAAAAAATCTCCAAACCTAAATCATTTGAGCAAAATTAAATTATATGAAATAAGCTTTCATCGAAACAAAATTTCAAATTTAAAGTTGAAAAAATTTTTTAGAATTAGAAAGTTGGCCTAACTTTTGTGACCATATCTATCAATTTTTACTAAATGAGCACTAAAACTATTATAAAAATTCATTTCATCAGTTTTTCTTTTATAGCTGGTTGAAAAATATGTCTCTTAATTTACTCCTGGATCTGCCACCGTGTAAATATACCTAAACTTTTATCAAAATAATTGAGTGATTTGTATTTTTATTATTTGGTACAAAATGGCTAATGTGAATCATTACAAACGACAGATATACAAAAGAAGGTGAATGTATTCCACTGTGCCAAAACCCTCTAGACATTCAACCAGAAACATGCAATGATGATGACTTTGTGTTTCTTGTGTGGCCAGTTACGATTATTCATAAAATTAACAAGACCAGTCCATTTTGGGAAATGTCTCTTGAAAAACTTCAAGAAGAGCATTTCGAAATTATAGTCATTTTAGAAGGTACGAATAAATTTATTTAATCAAGTTGAAATGTTTAAAGACATAATAGTAAAACATTTTTCAGCCGCTTAAAATTTGGTAGTCTGAATTTTTTAAAATAATTTTAAATATAGGCATCGTTGAATCTACTGGCATGACTACACAAGTTCGAACTTCGTTTCTGCCTCGCGAAATTCTTTGGGGACATCGACTAGCTCCTTTGCTTACATATCAAAAAGAAAACGGACAGTACAAAATAGATTATTCTCAATTTCACGCCGTCATTCCAATTTTATCAATGCCGGAACACAGTGCTAAGGATCATGAACTAAAAAAGAAGAACTTAGACGATGACTCCACTTCAAAAATAACAGAAATGGAGGAACACAATTTTGGTTATATTTCTCCGGATATTAACGGGCCAAAACCAGACAGTTTAAGAATTAGTGTGTTGAAACGCATGAAAGGGAGTGTCAGAAATCGTTATGGTAAAACAAATTCTGGGTCTCGTTCTTCTAAAAAAGATTCTGGAATGCCAACGCACAACCTTCATCGACGAATGTCTGCTTCAACAAGTGCCTTGAGAGCTCTTTGAATTAAAGTCTACACGATATTGAAAAAATTTGTTTAAATTTCATTATTTGGAATACTGAGATGAGCAGAATGAAATAAAAACTTTAAAAAAAAACATCCTTACAGTATATTTTTTTATAAATATTGCGTAATTTTTTTACTTGTTCGATTTTTTTTAATTTTTTAGTCTGAAGAATTTTTTAGTTTGTTTGATCATTGTAAAGATTTGTTTTTCAATATATTCACAAACATTTTTATATTGAATTTGAAATAAATTTTAAAAAATTTAAATTGTCAGATTGTCAAATCATAACATAAAGTTTAACAGATGTAAATAATTTGTTAACTCGTAAAATCGTAATATATTACATTACACTCTTCGCCTATTAACAATCACAACAAAAAACGTCTTCTCCGTAAGAGATAATGATGGCAAGTTTAGGTTCCATTTCTTTCCTGTCGCGCAGTAACATTTACAGCCCATGATTTATAAATAAAGTTCTGCCCCGTCGAAATCTGTATCATAAAACTTGCCCTAATTTGTACACTCTTTTCGAGACCTTTATTATCTTCACCTATCTTCAACGAATTTTCCACTTCCAACAAAAAGCCATAGTTGGAATTGTAGTACTTATTTTTTGCTGCTTTTGTCTTCATACCATTAGAAATCTCATCTCCCGCTGAAAAGCTAATATTGCTAGCCAGTTCTCCGAGCATTTTTCGGCGTCTAAACAGTGTTTGAAACCAATAAGTTTTTAAACACTATGTTTTTTGGCGATGTAAATTTTCAAAAAGAGATAATTCAAAGGCCATTTTGGCACACCCTGCAAGTGGCACCCGGTGCTTGATGCAGTATCCCGCACCCACCCCACTAGGCCACATTAAAATTCGATAGCCGTTCAAGTTAAATAGAATAAATTACTAATTCTAACCGCATTTTGTCTTTGAAAGAAAAAAGTTTTACTTACGGTAAACTTTGATTTCAGTAATAGCAATAACAAAAAAAGGAGTACACACACCTTACGAAATCTCATTCACTAACGAAATGATTAGAATTGAAAACTGATACTGAGGTATCCCACCAGAACTTTAGTCGTCTGTGTACTCTAAGTAATCGAACACTTGAAACGGACGAATATTGACTATCTGAAACCTGTCTAAATCTAATTAAACGTTTTAAAATGCTTATAAACGTTTTCACGCGAGTTGATGCGTCATTATTGACGAAACAGTACGTATTCAATAATTAAAACACTTTTTAATAAAATTTCCACATTTATTTTTTTCTTTTTCTAATGAAACGTTTTTTACTTTTTTGCGATATACTTTTTGCAAATATATAATAATTAAAAATTATTTTATTTAATTTATTTAAATTCTTTAGAAAATATTTTATATATTTTTAGCTGTTTTTTGAAAGATCAAATTCTTTCTTTTATGTTTCATTGAGTTGTTGAGGTATATGGCAACAGTCACTCAGTAGATTCATTTACATGTACAGTATACTCATTAGCTCTAGTCAACAATATTGCAGTAAAAAAAAATCATCAATAAGAAACTGTATTTACATCGGGCGTTACGTTTTCAAATAAATTATTTGATTAAATCATCTGTATCATAGTGTGAACTAGAACCAATTTTTTTAAAAACGACTTTCAGATCTGATCTGTAGGACATGCACCATAAACTGACATCATATATCTCTGTACCACTGTCGTCACCCCTATCCCTGACCTCTGAGCTTTCAATGAAAACATTTTCACGCGAAACAGTAGAGCTGCAGTTTTTATTATGTCCTGTAGTTTTGCATTTTAACCCTCTTCCATTTCCACAAACTCTTCCACTGGAGGAGGTGGTATTGATTTCTATATCACATTGATTTTCAAATTCATCCTCTAATTTTGCTGTAGAGCATCTGCCATCATGATCCTCATTTTTCAAAGTTTTATCATGAAAATTTCTGTTGTTTCTTTTGTTGAAGAGAAGACTTTTTTTGACATTAAATAACTGACTATCCAGTGATTTATTTTTATCACATCTCCGTTTCCCTGTAACACATCTTCTCCCCCCAAATTGCTGCGGTCTGATAGTTTCATCAGTCAAACATTTGCGATCAGTGGTTAACAGACTTCCTACCACGTCACCTAACTGTGCATTGTTTTGGGGGCTAGGAGGATAACCATCAAAACTGTGATTACAAGCAATGTTCGGCGAAACAAAATGTAGAGGCCAAAACAAGTTTGAATATGCATCATAACAAGGCATAGAACTAGCATTGAATGCTTCTGGCAAGTTCATTATATTTGGCAAGTAGTTCATCGTTGGTGTAAATATCTGCTGTTTGACTTGCTCAAGAAACTGTTGATGTTTTAAATATTTTTCTTGCAGATGTTGTGTATGCTCATACAGTATTTCTTCTTGGAAAGGTTTGATCTGTTCATTCTGAAACAGTAACATTTGTTGAGTTGGAGTACAATTTGGATAAGAATATGAATTGTAATCGCTTGAAAAAATGTGATTGGTTGGTACAATCTCATTTCGTCGATCAGTGTCAGCAAGGCAATATGGTGACTGTGGGAAAAGGTTGTTCGAGAAATATTGGTTAACAGGTTCCTCACCGTTTTGGTGTAGATCATTTAAACCCTCAATATCATTATTTAAAAATTTTTTTGAAATTTCATTACTATCTGAATTTGAATTAATTTTGTTATGGTTAATTTGATTATTGGTGTATTTCATTATGGCCCCATTACTGATTCTATCAGCAGATGATTCATTCGGTTCTGTTATTTCATCTAGTTTTACGTTAGTACTTTTTGTATCAACAGGGCTGAAGCAAGCTGAGTTACCACATGTTAACAATTCATTCGATTCATTTAATGATGTTTCAGAGAGAGTAGTTATACTAGTTGGTCCTGTTACATTCACTTCTTTCAAATTAATCACTAATTTCAAACAATCACCCAGGCTTTTTTCATCAACTAGATGTGTTTCCAGTACAACTGTTTCATCAGTTTTTGGTTCAGCGTCATGACTTGAAGGAGAGCCTGGAATTTTGACTTTAACAACTTCTTCTGGACAAGAAAAATCTGAAGAAATTAACTTATCTACTAAAAAACTTTTTGTCACATCATTTAAATCTCTGTCAGTGTCAACTTGTTGAATTTTATCAATAAGATTATTTTCAATTAAAACCTTATTTGTATTGACTGCATTACTGTTATCATGACATCCCAAGGAGACGAGACCAACACCATCTAAGCTGTGTTGGGCATCTTTGGGGTGTGTTAGTTCATCCATGGCTGATAGTGAACATTCAACATTTTCAAAAGCAATAATCCGGTGGCTATTTCTTCTAGATTGAATGCATGGCAAACCTGCTTTTGATTTTTTCTGTTCTATGTCATAACATTCATCTCCATAATTATCATTGTGATACTTGTTGCTTTCCGCTGCTGCATTTGTTAAATGTTGGTTGTTTAAGTGTAGGAGAGGTAAATCGTGTAAACTTGGAAGATCTGAAATCATTTGATCTAACAATAAATAATTTTCTGATTTTTGTGAAAATGTTACATGTTTTTTGTCATTGTTATGCACCGACAAACTGTTAACAACTTCTTCACAACATTCACAATATGTTAACTTTACATCGACACCTTTCTTTTTATTTGCCACTTTCGTTTCAGTTGACTTTTTCTCACCAATTTTTGGCAAATTTTGAAAGCATCTAAAAATTGGAGAAAACCTTTGAGAAACATCTTCAATCTTTATAAATTCGTTACCTAGTTTTTTACAAAGTTTGTTGGAAGATTTCAACTTTTGAGATGATTTCAATTTTGCCATTGCGCTTTTCAAAACTTTTTTTAATAATAAAATATCGACAATTGGAATATTGAATTTCATTGCAAAGTGAATGGGATCCACAAAACTTTGAGAGTTCAAAGAATTTGTCGAATTTGATCTCATAAGCAATGTTTGGCCTCGAGACATCATCATTACTTTTGGAGCTGGTTATAAGAAATATGAAGTTAAATTTAATAATCAAGTTTTCAAATATTTAAATTGTAATTAAATAAAAACTTATATAAATTAAAATTAAATAGCACTGTTGATTTTTCCATTTAAGGTCAACTTTTGCTTTTGAAAAGTTATTATATTAAACGAAAAAGTCATGAATAACTAAATTTATATTTTAAATGAATGATCAATTTCAATTTTGCTCTAAAAAAGATTATATTTTCTCAATTTAATTTTTAATTTTTCAAATTGATTCACGCACTCAATTTTTATAATAGCTAAAGTCCAACACTTATAACTCAGTGGACCTTAAGGTTAACTTTAGTGTTTAGTCATTTACGTATCACTTTACACATCAAATGTACAATATTTAAATAATATTAATCTGACAATATTTTATATTAAAAAACATAAATTAATTTAAGATGCACCATGCTTATTAAAAACAAAAAAAATTAGCAAAACCTAATAAATATTGATATGAAATAAAAAAATAACTGAATAATGAACTAAAGTCTAAAGAAACCAAAATTTTTTGAAATCATTTCAATTCAAATTACACCCTACTTTACTGCGAATAGGTGAATTAATTATGACTGCACTATTATTGTTTACATTTGTTTCATACACAGTGAGACAAGAAACACTCATCCCCTATAAATTATAGAGAATAATTACAATTTGTCAAATTTGTGCTATATATCCCATTAATTTTAAATGAATTTTTAGAATAATATCATGCAGAGTCCAAATAAAGCTTTGAATAAATTTTGTGCATATTGTGCACGGTGTATAGAAAACTTAGAATAAATCAAAAATTTAAAAAAACAAAAATTTTAAATAAATGTAAAATATTTTTAAATAAAACACAAAACATACTATTTGCTGGAAAGGCTTGACTAGAAAATGAAGTGTTCCTATGATGCAATTTTGGCGGAGCCGTCGCGGAATCCAATTTTCGATTCGTCACAACATAATCAATTTCGTTTGATAAAAATTCTTCAATTGCAACCTCCAGTTTTTTTAAATAAGCTTCCAATTTATTTCTGTTAGAATAATTTTTCAAATCCAAGAACACTTTAGTGCCACTTTCTAATTTCATGTTAGTAAGGTTTGCGCTTGCAACTTTCAGAAGAACAGAATTTTTGCTTTTTGTACGAACCAGCAGATTATTTTCAACAGATTTTAACGCGACCGACATTTTAATTTTGGTACATAACGTTAGATAATTCACCCAAAGAAATTTATTTTGAAAAGCTACCAAGTACCAAAAACTACAAAAACATTCAAACCAATGCATTTTTGACATACTTATAATACCAATCCGATACTAACCTTCGAGCGCACCCTTGCACATTTTCATTTTCAATTTGTCAAATTCATCAAATTTTACAATTTTCACATTATAATAGTTTATTTAAAAATATTTATTTATTTTTAAAAATTTTATCCATTTTAATTATTTATTAATTTTTTTTTTTTTTATTAGTCTTTATTATTGCAGCTCTGACATACGCAGAACCACTTACAATGTTCCAGATATATTATTATTTATTTATTATGTTCTTCATATCTTCAACCAATGATATGAAGCAGCCATTTTTCGCCACAAAGGCTGTTTTATCCTTTTCACACGACGTACACATGTATTTTATGTGCACGCGCAAGTACCGCATCATATACGCTGAGTATATGATAGCCATTGTGGTGTTTGACTCAGCGCGCATTTGAACCACTGAGCCACCTCGCCGGCCAACATGCGACAACTTACGTCGTCTAATTGATTTATTTCATCTTCTTTTTTTTCGTGCCTTATCCTTTAAGGATATTGGCATCCATCGACCTCCACAAAACCCGATCATTAACATTTTGTAAAAATTGAGATGTGGTGGTATTCAACAAATGACACAAGGACCTCACGAATCTAATTTGTAAAGTCCATCGAAAACCATCGACAAATACAAACTAAATCAAAGAAATCATTTATTTCATGCATTTGCTTAATATTTATGCGTATTTAGTTTCTTTATTTTGGTATACGTATAGCCAAACTGATTTGAGATTGTCGTGCTTGACAGGCATCTTTCTATTTCTGAAAGTTTAAAGTAAACACTCTTACGCTAAATTTGCTTTTGCTATTTTTGGTCCTTTTCTCTGAAACTCTCTACCTCTTTTTTATTTCTTTTCAAAGTTTAGAGCGGATTTCAAAAATTATCTGATTGTAGCATTCATTGGTCACGCTTTATTTAATGGCATGGCCATGGATATATATAACCATGGGCATGGCCCGGCTTATATTGCATTACAAATAAAATACATTGCATCACCACGTTACAACGATTCATAAATTTAGGTTTAGGGTAGTGGCAATTTTTTGGTTTTGCCAAAATATCACTACCGATGACGATCAATCAATCAAAAAATTAGTTTCTAAAGCGCCATATCGAAAATGTGCTGGGAAACTTCACGCACTCCCGTCGCTAACGTAAATCGATCTATCGATCATAACGTCTTGCTGAAAAAATGTTTTTAAGCGCGGCTCGGTTTTAGTTTAAATTCTTGTCATGGAGTACGTTTATTTATCTTCAAATATTTCGCCACAAAATATCGTTGAAAATATGAGTAATGTCTCGCTATTTTAATGGCTTTTCGTCATTTTACCTTTTTGAGTATTGGCGTCGGTTTCGCAATCGGTGGTGTTTTGACGTCTTATTGGTTGAGCAGACGAGTTCATGTTCAAATTCAGTTTCTGTTGCATAGGATCGACTGTGTAGAGCAACAATTGGCTAGATTGAACGATCTGATTATCAGCAGCATCCGTAGTATTCAATTTCAACAGCATCCACATTCTGCAAGGGCTGATGAATATGAATGTATTAATCAGGTTAATAAAAAGATCAACTCCAACTGTGATTTATTAAATAGCAGCTTTGAGGAGGAGGACATTTTCGAAGAAGCAAATGATGGGTGACTAAAATTTTTGTTATTTTTTTAAAATGATGTTTAAGAGAAAAACATTTATAATAAATGTGTAGGAGGTTTATATTCAAAGCCTTGGCTCCAAGCAATGAGTTAACATTAGCTGGAAAAGACTCAGTCTGCTTATTGAAAATATTTACAGGGTAATTAAATTCTGTAAATAAGCATTGCTTTAATTAAATTCTACCAGTTATTGAAAGAGATTTTAAGAAAGAAAATGAATATTTTGTGAAAATAAAGAATATGTTTTGTTTAGGCTTGCTGTTTGCAGTTGCATTAATTAGGTTTATTAATTAATTTCTAAATAAGATGTATACAGTGAAGACTTGAGTGATAAAAAATGTTTCTAAATAGAATAAGCCTTTTTAATTGAATTGTTTTTAAATCTTCTATTTTTTTAATTTTACAATTAATTTTCTACTGATTTTTTAATGCCAATACCTTTAGTTATGTTCCTTGGCTGTCTTCATTTAATTCTGCCTTAAACAGGTTTGTTCAGTTTCCATAGTATTTATTATTATAATTTTTTTTTATTTTAAATATTAGATTAATTGTTGTCTTCAGAGCTCTGTTATATCTATCCTTATGATTGATAACTCAGAATATTGTTTTGTTGAATCTGTTATCAGATACACAAAAATTTTACATGCTCAAGTTAGCTTAAATTGTAAATAAAATATTTTAAAATAAAACCATTTTATGTTTCTAACTATAATAGCTGATTTTCCATTACAATACATTATTTTTTTCCATCAATGAAAACATTGCAGTACGTGTACTACAAGGGAAAGTGTACCTGATGTGGAGCAGGATGGTCTGTTCAAGCAGGTAGATGAATTGCTGGATGGTGATGAAAGCTCTCAACAGGAAGCTTATAATCTATTAATGCAACATTCCTCACAAGTTGGTTGACAAATGTGATTTAATAATTGTCATGATAGGTTTTTCATTCATAATAAATGGTCAGATATAATTAGCCAGATTTGAATTTTTTAGGACCCATTTTGGATTGAGAGATTTTGAATATTTTAACATTTTTATGGCACCCCACTCTATAGTGTGGCGGTGCAAGGCACTATAGATGGAAGGACTACTTGTAGACCAAGGGGCTGGAAGTTTGGTACCTGGAATGTAGGCACGTTGACAGGAAGAAGCTTGGAAGTGGTGGAGGAGCTGCAGAGGAGAATGGTTGACATGGCTGCATTACAGGAGATCAGATGGAAGGGTGAGGGTACAAGGTTTGTGGGGGCTAAAGGTGGAAGATATAAGTTGTGGTGGAAGGGGATGATGGTACGGGAGGAGTTGGTGTGATGGTAAGAGAAGAGTTGGTGGAGAAGGTGTTGGAAGTGAGGTGGAGAAGCAATGGTGTAATTGTGGTGGTGATGGTGTTGGGAAAAGTAATAGTGAGGGTGATATCAGGATATGCTCCGCAACAAAGTAGGAAGGAAGAGGAGAAGGATAGGTTTTATGATGATGTTTCTGACGAGATTGGGCAAGCGGGGTTGGATGAGTTTGTGGTGTTGTTGGGTGATTTGAA